GCTGAGGGACAGCGCCCAGGCCCAGAGTTCAGGCCCCACAATCAGCAAAAAAAAAAAATAAGTACTGGCCGAGAAGTGCTTTTCTCCTACTTTCTCAAGCATGGGGGGGTCCAAATGTCCTCTGTGTCCTCTGGACTCTCCTCCATCCCAGCCTCACGAAGCCTTGGCAACCTCTCTGTCCATAGTTTTATCAAAGGTATCCCGAGCTGGGCGCTGGTGGCTCACGCCTGTAATCCTAGCTACTCAGAAGGCTGAGGATTGTGGTTCAAAGCCAGCCCGGGCAGGAAAGTCTGTGAGACTCTTACCTCCAATAAACCACTAGAAAACCGGAAGTGACACTGTGGCTCAGGCAGTAGAGTGCTCACCTTGAGCTGAAGAGCGCAGGGACAGTGCTCAGGCCCAGAGTTCAAGCCCCACCACCGATCAAAACAAAACAAAACAAAAGGTATCCCAAATTTAACCCACACAGAACCAAACTCTTCAATCCACATCCAAACACAGCGTCCTCCCTGAGCCCCATCTGCTGGCCTGCTTGTTCAGCCTCTTCCTCTCTGAGCCCAACAAATGCTTTTGGCTTTACCTTCAAAATACATGGAGTGCTAAGGGTGTATGTAACTTGTGGAAGAGCATGCACTTAGCATGTGCAAGGCCCTGGGTTCCATCCTAAGTTGAGGAAAGAAGGAAGGAAGGAAGAGGAAGGAGGGAGGAAGAAATGAAGGAGGGGAGAGAAGGAAGGAGGGGAGGAAGGAAAGAAGGAAGAAAGGAAGGAAGGAAGGAAAAAAGGAAGGAAGGAAGGAAGTTAGGAAGGAAGGAAGAGAAGGTATCTTGGCACCCACAGCTGACAGCTAGCAGTGCAAGTCAGCCTTCCTTCTGCAGTAACAACCCTCCAACTGATCTCAATGCCAAGTTGTCAGACTCTTTTTCCTAGGTTTTGTTGTTGTTGTTGGTAGTTGTGGTCATGGGGCTTGAACTCAAGGCTTGGGGCTGTCTCTGAGCTCTTTTGCTCAAGGCTAGCACTCTATCATTTTGAGCCACAGTTCCACTTTTGGTTTTCTGGTGTTTAATTGGAGATAAGTGTCTCATGGATTTTTTTCCTACCCTGACTGGCTTTGAACCATAATCTTCAGATCTCAGTTCCTGAGTAACTAGAATTACAGGTGTGAGCCACTAGCACCTGATTTTTAAAAAAAATTGATAGTGGGGTTTGAACTCACACTTGCTTGGTTGATGCTCTACTACTTGAGCCATACTTCCAGCTCAGCTTTTTGCTGGTTATTTTAGAGATGGAGTCTTTTGGACTTTTCTGCCAAAGCTAGCCTTGAGCCCACCTTCTGAGTAACTAGGATTACAAACTTGTTATTTGATTGGTTTATCATGTGTTTCTATCCTCTGTTAGCTTGTGAGCACCATGAATACAGGGTCTTTACTAGCCATTGAGGTCCTGGACACATTATAAGTACAGGACAAATATTTTTCAAATGAATTAATGAGTAATATACCAGACATTAGTTCTATTGCCTTCACTCATTCTTTGGCATTGAATATATAAATACACAAGTGGTGTGGGAATTTTTTTCAGCCACTCCTTACTTATCTAGCCAAAATTATGTCAGATCCAAAGCAGTAAAGAAATAAAAGAAAAATGTGAGGGAGTGTACTTATTATCTAGTACACACCCTGAGGCTCTGATGAAATCAAGATGGGCAGATAACTCTAAATCCCAAATACAAAACTTTTTTTTTCTTGCCTTTCCTCACAGTTTAGATGGCAAATCTAAATTTATTTTTATTTATTAAAAATAAAAAAGTAATTATTAAAATCTAGCATACTGCCTCTGTTTCCCTGGCATAACTGTGAATCTGAGAGAAAGAGACTGAAACAATTAAGCATGCCCTGTCTCATCCCTGTGTAGGTAACATCTCAGACCCATGGGTGAGGGCTGTCTGTGGATGGATGATTGCCATTCTTTTTTTTTTTTTTTTTTTGGGTCCGGTCATGGGGCCTGAACTCTGGGCCTGGGCGCTGTCCCTTAGCTCTTCAGCTCAAGGCTAGCGCTCCACCACTTGGGCCACAGCGCCACTTCCGGCTTTTTTCTTTTTGCTTATGTGGTGCTGAGGAATCGAACCCATGCCCTCGGGCATGCAAGGCAAGCGCTCTACTACTGAGCCACCTTCCCAGCCCTGGCTGCCATTCTTTTGAATTACAAATTAAGTCATCTGAGTCCTTGGGAATGGGTCCCACTGGTTGTTGTGTATTGTTAAGACTGTTCATTAGAGCCTATTTAAGGCTGGGATGTGGCTTAGTGGAAGAGTGTTTGCCTAGCATGCATGAAGCCCTGGGTTCAATTCCTCAGTACCACATACACAGAAAAAGCCAGAAGTGGCTCAAGTGGCAAAAGATGCTCAAGAACAGTGCCCAGGCCCTGAGTTCAAGCCCAGGACTGGCAAAAGAAAGGGAGGAAGGAAGGACGGAAGGAAGGAAGGAAGGAAGGAAGGAAGGAAGGAAGGAAGGACGGAAGGAAGGAAGGAAAGAAGGAAGGAAGGAAGGGTATTTTAATGACTCCTGTGTCCCTTTTTACCACTTTTTTTGGCAATGGGGCTTGAACCCAGGGCTTGGGCATTGTCCCTAAGCTCTTTTTGCTCAAGGCTAATGCTGCCCTACTTTGAGCCACAGCGCACTTCTGGTTTTCTGGTAGTTAATTGGAGATAAGAGTCTCATAGACTTTCCTGCCCGGACTGGCTTTGAACTGTGATACTTAGATCTCAGCCTCCTGAGTAGCTAGGATTACAGATGTGAGCCACTGGTGCCTGACCTCACTATTTTTTAAAAAAGAATTTATTTTTTTATTATGTGTTTTAAAAGTGTACAATGTGATATGTTGATGGACAAGATCAGGTAGGCAATGAAGATGTATTCGCACATAACCATGAAAATTCTAGCAGCTGGCAAAGGTTGGTGTGATGTTCTTAGAATCATCTAGTCTTGTGACTCCTAAACCTCATTCTGTAATAGAATTACCTGGATAGCATTTTAGAAGTACAGGTGTTGGGACAAAGCTTTAGTGTGGCACATACCCTCACATATATTCTCTCTCTTCCTTTCTCTTTCTTTTTCTCTCTCTGTATCTCTGTCTCAGAGAGCAAATACAGATGTCTCAGTTTTCGGGGAGTCTTGGGTCCAGGATGCCGAGGATGCTCAAGTCCCTGTATAAAATGGCATACTATTTGCATATAATGCACATATCCTTCCATATTGTCTAAGTCATCTCTAGATTACTTAAAATACCTACAGTATAAATGCTGTGTAAATAATTGTGTGTTATACTGTATTGCTTAGAGGCTGAGGACAAAGAAATAATGTCTTCACATGTTCAACAGAGACCCTTTTTTTCTGGATTTTTTTTTTTTTTATTTGTAGCTGGTTGCATTCGGAGACTGAGGATCCTTCAGGAACAGAGGCTTGGGCATGCAGTCCTAGGGAAGATGAGAGCTATGAAGCAAGCATGTAAAGGGCAGGAAAAGAGCTATGGAGATGGTGGGAGGTTTTCGGAGGAAGTGGCAAGGAGGTAACCTTGCCCTTGCAGGTCACACTCTGCTGCAGCAGTATTAGGGACGAAGAGTTCCAGTAGGAAATGGTGTGGCAGTGGTCTCAGAATTCACGCCTGTAACTAGCTACTCAGGAGGATGGGATCTGAGGATCAAGGTTTGAAGTTAACTTGAGCAAAAAAGTCTGTGAGACTTGAATCTCCAATTAACTGCCCCAAAAAAGCCAGAAATGGAGGTGTTGCTCAAGTGGTAGAGCACCAGCCTTGAGCACAAAAGCTCAGGGACAGTGCCCAGGCCCTCAGTTCAAGCCCTAGAATTGGTACACACAAAAATGTGCAGGTTATTGTGGCTCTGGCCCACAGTGAGCGACTAAGAAAGAACTGGGTGCTGTGGAAGATGGGAAATGGCTGTGGGGCATATGGGGCAAAGATCCTTCTCCTGGATCTTTGTGTTCTGTGTGGTAGAATGGATTATAGTCTTTTTTTTTTTTTCCTTTTGTCGGTCATGGGGCCTTAACTCTGGGCTTGGGTACTGTCTCTCAGCTCTTCAGCTCATGGCTAGCATTCTACCACTTGAGCCACAGCGCCACTTCCGGCTTTTTCTGCTTATGTGGTGCTGAGGCATGGAACCTAGAGCCTCATGCATGCAAGGCAAGCACTCTCCCACTGAGCCACCTTCCTAGCCAGTAGAATGAATTACAGAACAGCGGGGGAAGCTATGAGGCCTGAACTGTTCCTTGGTGATAAGCAGCACTAAACAGGGACATGTAAGAACACCAGTGGAGCTGAAACATGTTTTGTTTTTGTAAGGGGGCTGGTAAGGAAAACAGGATGGGGAATGGTGGGCTAATACAGTCATAATACTCAATATACATATGTAAAAATAGAAATAGGTAACTTGAGGGGATGGGTGAATCAGAGAGAGATGAGGGAAGAATTGATAGAAGGAATGACACTGATCAAGATGCACTGTACTCATAAATTGGCCTGTTGAATTGCAGCCCCTTTGCACAACTACCTAAAGATATTTAATAAATAAAGCCAATGGACTTGATGATGAGTAAGACCTGGGGCGGGGTAGGGGGGAAGCAGGTTGGGAAATTAAGGATGAGCCTCAGGGCTTCTGCCAGTGTGGGATGTGACCAGGTGTCCAGCCTCCTCTTGCATAGAATGGCTTGTGTTAAGGGTCCTTTTTACTGGGGTTGGTGGTGAATTGGCATTCGTAAAGCTTTTAGCTTGGCACACAGTAAAACACAGTGTAAATATTAGAACTGATGTGCATGATGGTTATTCATCCAAGGTCGCACAGCTGGCCAGCAGAATGTCCAGGACAAGAAGCCAAGACTGAGCCTCTTGGTTTAAAGTATGTCATGCTTTGCTGAGCTGCCTCCTTCAATTACCCTTGAACTTTTTTTTTTCAAATTTATGTAGACTCTTGGTCAAGTATTACGTTGTTATGGTACATGGTGAGTCGTACCTATTGTAACATATGTGGTACTGAACATGAGAAACTGCTGGGTTTTTCATAGACCCTAGAATTCCAGATTCTTTTGGCTGTCCATAAGACAGTGCCATTCCCAATGAAACATAGGGCCGGGCCGACGGAGGAAGGAGGTGCTAGAAGAGAGATGTTCTAAGTAGTTTTTAAATATTAAATATTAAAAGAAATCATGCTGGTGTCATCCACAAGCTTAGTAGCCTAGAGCATTCACTCTTCAACAAGAAATGGCGTTGAGAGTCCTTAACTCTGGAAGTCACAGGTCACTGCAAGCCAGGGGAAAGAGGGAAAACAGGCTAGGAACGGACTGCCAGGTTCTAGTGCTACATCTTGAAGAAGTGTTTGAAGTGCTTCTCTCTGTCAATTTCAACTAAGCTAATTTTTTAAAATAGTCTTTGTACTGTGCCTTTCTCATGAACCTCTGTGCGTTTAATGTTTGCAAGATGTTGGGGGAAGCCTGTCGGCCTCAGTCTCCATCCCCCTGAATCTGAGAAGCAGATTTTTTTTTTTTTTACAAGCACCAGATTGCACCTGCAAGGATTTGTCCTTTTATGAAATGGGACCTGTGACCATTTGCAAGTACATCCTGTTAGTAAAGAGTTTCAGAAAGAGGTGAGGGAACAGACCACCCTAGCCTTCTCCCTCGGGAGGGCGTCCTGTTTTGTTGCACCTCTATCTCAGACAGCGTGGGGGAAGACTGTTCCTCATTACCAGGGAATGTGAGTCACTCCCAGATTTGTGTGATTGGGATTCCAAAGCATTGCTGTATCCGATGGTCTTATTAAATCCAAGTGTCAGTGCAGCCTTTCAGACTGTAGGGGAGAGCTCAGTTACAGCTGGTGACCTGGTTCTAGTTACGACACAGAGATGCTGGCGAGAGCAGTGACCCCCTCCGAGTACCCAGAATTCAACACACAGGGCTGGTAGCAACTCTTCCAAGATTTGGGGGTTTCCTGGTTCACTTCATGGGCTTCGGTACATTTCAGCTCCTTGTTTATATCTTCATTGAGATGTGTGTACTTTGGGGGGAAATGTCCTGGTGCCTTGACAAGCTAGTGCCAGGATTGTCTGGCATTGACACAGGGTACCTCGTTCTGATTTGCTCAGCCCAAGCTCCAGAATTTAGCAAGGCACTATCCATTTCCAGCTTATTCCAAACAAAACAACTAACACATCAACTAGAGAGGGAGGGAGACTCTCAGTGTTGCCAGAAAATTTGTATGCTCTGTCTTTTCTTTCTCCTAGAGTGTTTCACAGCCAATGGTGCAGATTATAGGGGAACGCAGAACTGGACGGCTCTGCAAGGCGGGAAGCCATGTCTGTTCTGGAACGAGACTTTCCAGCATCCGTACAACACTCTGAAATACCCCAACGGGGAGGGCGGCCTGGGTGAGCACAACTATTGCAGGTAAGATGTGGCTGTGATACGTAAGGAAAAAAATATCTCTGATCTCTTCTTTCAACCTCCTGCCCCACTTACAAGTAGGGAAAACTTTCTGGTGTTATTCTGACCAACTCAGAAAGCCTTTCTTATCGTGTGTGTGTGTGTGTGTGTGTGTGTGTGTGTGTCTGTCTGTCTGTCTGTCTGTCTGTCTGCCTGTCTGCCTGCCTGTCTGTCTGTCTGCCTGTCTGTCTGTCTGTCTGTCTGCCTGTCTGTGTGTCTGTGTGTATGTCTGCCTGCACATGTGCATGCATGCCAATCTTGGTGCTTGAACTCAGGGCCTGAACACTTCCCCATGAGCTTTTCTGCTCAAAGTTAGCACTCTACCACTTGAGCCACAGCTGCACTTCTGGCTTTTTTGGTGGTTCACTGAGATAAGACTCTTGCAGACTTTCCTGCCCAGGCTGGCTTTACAAGTGTGAGCCACCAACACCCAGCTAAGGGATTTTGTTGTTATTGTTGAGTGAAGGTCTTACTCTGTTGCCCAAGCTAACTTAAAACTTGAAGTCCTGAGTTCAAGCGATCTTCCTTCTTCAGCCTCCCCACTAGGATTGCAGGAACTTTTTTTTTTTTTTTGTCAGTCACGGGTCTTGAACTCTGAGAAACTAGGACTACAGGCATGAGCCGCCAGCTCCCAACTTTGCAGGAACTTTTAACTCTCAAGTCCATGTGTATTCAATGGCTTCTTTATGGATATGATACATGGCTTTAATCAGATTCTCAGTAGTGTGTGACTGAATGCAAGTTAAGAATCACTGGTATGTAGGAATGAGAACAAGGATTCTAAGCACCTTTGGTTCTGCCCTTTAGCTACTTCTCCCAAGATGCTGATAACATGACTCATGGTTACTCAGTGTGTTGAATTTGATCATTATTCGGACAGGTGCAACTATAGCCTCTTGAGCCATTGAGACAGGGGAAAATGATTGCTGAGCTCCATACTCTGTCCTGCTTCCGATGGTATGTGGATATCCCAACCCCATGGCACTATTGATGCAGCTGAGCCAACACCTAGCTTCCCGTGTTTTGCAGGCCCCTCGCTTGCCTTCTGCCTTCCACAAACCTTGGCTAACAAGCCAGGGTCCTCATGGCTATGATGAAGTCACCAGGCTGCAATCTTAGGTTTTCCTTCTCCTTGTACCTTTAGTTTTCTCTATCACCTGTTTCCCCTGGTACCATCCCTCTTCCCCCCTATTTGTTTTTGCTCTATTATAAAAAGCATCAAAAGTTTGTTCTTCAAATGTTTTTTTTTTCAAATGCTACAGATGTTTACTGTTGAAGGAGTGCAGCTCTCATTTTTCCTCTTTCCTGGAAGCCCTCCCTGAGTCGCGCTGCTGTGTATGAACTGCCTCCCATTTTGTTCTTTTGAATTTTCCTGTTCAAGTTACATATGCTCGTTACACAACTCTTTTTCATTTTGTTTTCAAAGTTGTACATATTGATTTAATTTTTTTGCATAAATGAAAAAAATTAGTCCCACTCTATTTCTGGTATATTACCTTCCCCTAATTTTTCTATTCATAGGAATAGTTAGGTTGAGGGTAGGTTGAGTTGGGGAGAATGTTTAGGCCCAGGAAAGAATTTTTTTTTCATAATTACTTGGCTTCTTGTTCTAGCATATCTCTGTTCTTTTTTTTTTTTTTTTGGGTCCGGTCGTGGGGCCTGAACTCTGGGCCTGGGCGCTGTCCCTCAGCTCTTCAGCTCAAGGCTAGCGCTCTACCACTTGAGCCACAGCGCCACTTCTGGCTTTTTTCTTTTTGCTTATGTGGTGCTGAGGAATCAAACCCAGGGCCTCAGGCATGCAAGGCAAGAGCTCTACCACTGAGCCACCTTCCCAGCCCCTCTCTGTTCTTGTTTGTGATGCAGGGCTGGGAAGGCCTCTACCACTGAGCTGAACCCCAGCCCCTAAAGTGTCTCCTGGCAGGAGGCTGTTGGATATTCCATATTTTCTTTCTCAAGCCTTCTCAAAGAGCTGTTTGTAAGGTACATTGTTAATTTCCAATGAGGCTGAATTTTTATGAAGAATATTGTCCCCCCTGTAGGACAGCACCATGTCTAGGAGCACCTTTCCCCTGACCTTTTGATTCCAAGGAATGTACATACCTGAATTACCAGTTTATTCTTCAAAACGAGAGGCTGAAATTGGTGATTATCACATCAAAGTCCAGGTCTTTTGTTTCAGGGTTGCAGTGAAGTAAGGATGAATTTGCGGGGTTTTTTATTAAGCTACTCTGATGCTTTTCAGAATGGCTTTGACATTGATAATAAACAGTTGTTTTTCTAAGAGCTTTATCCAATACGACATCAAAGCTGACCAGTGAATAGAGGGAGGAAAATGACAGTGAAATACTGTCTAAAGAAGGGCTTTTATACAAGTTCTCCTACTTTGATTTCTCAGCTGACACCCGACACCGTGTTTGTCTTTCGTCTCTCAGCCGCATCACATCTGAGATGTTTGGGAGTTGGCGAGTGATGGGAACACATTTCCCCTGGATGGGCTGAAGTATCTGGATTAAAGGGGAGGCAGAGACTGGGGAAGAGCAGGGCTGGCACTGGCACCTGCCTTTGGGCACAAGAAATAAAAGGACCCTTTGTGCCTCCAGGAAACTTATCTTTTAGGCCACACAATAGTCTTATCCGCTCAGGCCCGATAGGGGTTACAGGGTCTTTATGCCCGTTTCCGCCCTAGCTAGCGTGTCAGGTTTCTAGCATTCTGAGTCCAGTGAAGGGGCTTGGGAAGTAGTGAAGGGAGGGGAGGCTTTCCTGTGTGGCCAGCAGCAGCCCCCACCCCCACCCCCATTTGCCAGTGCTCTTCAGCTGTGCCGCCATTTACTGTCATGACATCTCACAGTTGAAACTCCAAGCTGTTCTTATTAAGGGATGAGGAAGTAATTGTTTTGTTTTGTTTTTTAAATAATCAGAAGTGAGTGCCAGCATGACAGGGGTCTGAGCTTGGAGGAAGGAGCAGGACCCAGTTCTGTGGAACAGGAATTGGCCAGTCCCATCCTGGTGGGAAGTTAGCAGAGGAGTCTGTACCACGGGGACTTCACTGTTAAAAAATCGCACACTTGAAATGCTCATTGTTGAGGAAGTAAGAAAATGAAGAAGAGGGGGGAAATTTTAATTGTTATAGGGCATTTTAGACCTCAAACCCAGACTCAGATTTTATAAGTCAGATCCAGCTACTCACCCCAACAAGCCAACTGAAAGATAAGCCATGGTGAAGGCAGGGAAAGGAGATTTATGGCGCGCACTGGCAGCGCATTTCTCTTCTCACCCATTCTCCTCCCTATTCCCCAGACTTCCTGAAGTCTTAAATAGGAGGAGGAATTGGGGGCAATGGATGAGCAGAATTGCTAGTACACCCAGTACACAGGCGGGGTGTTTCTTCTGGTGGTCTTGGAAGTTCTTCCATGATGGGGTTTATTACCGTATGAATCATAGACACCTGGCAGTTTTTCCTGAATTCCAAGATAGTGGCAAATTCACTGCCTGAGAGATTGGCCCAGGGCAAAGGACATAGGTAAAAAGTAGAGAGGCTGGAATGCCTAGCTTTTATCCTGCTTTGAGTTAATTTATGGGCCCAAGGAAGGAGTCAACTGAAGGAGTCCAGCAACTGTTAAGGCCCTGTTACAAAATCTTCCGTAGTGTTATCACCTACAGATAAATACTTTTTAAAAAATCGATTGTGAGGCCTAAACTCAGGACCTGAGTGCTGTCCTTGAGCTCTTTTGCTCAAGGCTACCCTAGCTCTATCACTTTGAGCCACAGCTCCACTTTCAGTTTTTTTGTTTTGTTTTTTGAGAGGTTAATTGGAGATAAGAATCTCACCGGGACTTTTCTGCCCAGGCTGGCTTCAAACTGTGAGCCTCAGATTTCAGCCTCCTGAGGAGGTACCATTACAGGTGTGAGCCACCAGCATCTGGCCAGATAAATACTTTTAAGAGTCTAGTGTATATCCTTCTCTAAATACATCTCACAGCTTCCTGAGTGCTGGGATTACAGGCATGTGCCACCACACCAGCTTCATCTAGCATCATATAAGTACCTGAGTGCCAATGGTTCACACCTGTCATCCTAGCTACTCAGAAGTCTGAGGTCTGAGGATCATGGTTCAAAGCCAGCCTGGGGAGGAAAATGTGAGACTCATCTCCTGTAAATTACCAAAAAGCTGGAAGTGAAGCTTTGGCTTAAGTAGTAGAGCAATAGCCTTGAGTAAAAAAGCTCGGTGACAGTGCACAGGGCCTGAGTTCAAGCCCTAGGACTGGCACACACACACAAAACCAAAGAGACTTCATGATTATCTTTCCATGTTAAAGGCAGTTCTCTATAGTACATTTGCCCTAGCTGCATAACATACATCTATTTTTCTTTTAATTTTAAAAATTGTTATTGGGGCTGGGGAGGTGGCTACGTGGTAGAGTGCTTGCCTTACGTGCATGAGGCCCTGGGTTCCATTCCTCAGCTGGAAGTGGTGCAGTGGCTCGAGTAGTAGAGCACTAGCCTTGAGCTGAAGAGCTGAGGGACAGCGCCCAGGCCCAGAGTCTAGGCCCCAAGACCAGCAAAAAAAACAAATGTTATAAAGGTGATATATAGAGGAGTTACAGTTAGGATAAGTTAGGTAGCTGGGTGCCGGTGGCTCACACCTGTAATTCTAGTTACCCAGGAGGCTGAGATCTAAGGATCTCGGTTCAGCCAGCCTAGGCAGGAAAGACTGTGAGACTCTTAGTGGTGCTGTGGCTCAAGTGGTAGAGCACTAGCTTTAATCTGAAGAGCTGAGGGACAGCGCCCAGGCCCAGAGTTGAAGCCTCACAACTGACAAAAAAAAAATCAGGTAAAGAGTACATTTGTTTTTGGACAATGTCACCCCTTCCCTTGCTGCCTATAGTTTTTTGATACTGGAGTTTAAGCTCAAGGCCTCACCTGACCCACACCTCTAACCTATTTTTTTTTTTAACTAGTTAATTGAAGATAAGCATCTCACAGACTTTCCTGCTTGGTCTGGCTTTGAACCTTAAGCCTCTCAGGTCCCAGCCTCCTCAATAACTAGGATTATAGGCATGAGCCACCAGTGCCTGGCTTTGGATGTATCATATTTATTTAAATAATACTTTATTGTTGCATATTTTCTACTTCCAATTTTTTATAATAAAAATGTTTTTGAACATCTATGTAAGTAAACTCTTCCTTAGAGTAAATTTCCTTCTTTCTTTCTTTCTTTTTTTTTTTTTTTTGTCAATCGTGGGCTTGAACTCTGGGCCTGGGCACTGTCCCTGCACTCTTCAGCTCAAGGCGAGTGCTCTACCACTTGAGCCACAGCGGTTTTCTGGTGGCTTATTGAATATAAGAGTCTCATGGGGGCTAGGAAGGTAGCTCAGCGGTAGAGTGCATGCCTTGCAAGCATGAGGCCCTGGGTTCGATTCCTCAGCACCACATAAAACAGAAAAAGCACCACATAAACAGAAAAAAAAAAAGAGTCTCATGGACTTTCCTGCCTGGGCTGGCTTTGAACCATCATCCTCAGATCTCAGCCTCCTGAGTAGCTAAGATTACAGGTGTGAGCCACCGGCACCTGGTTTCTTAGAGTAAATTTCTAAAGAAGAAATTGCCAGGGCTGGGAAGGTGGCTCAGTGGCAGAGTGCTTGCCTTACATGCCTGAGGCCTGGGCTCGATTCCTCAGCACCACATAAGCAAAAAGAAAAAAGCCGGAAGTGGTGCTATGGCTCAAGTGGTAGAGTGCTAGCTGAAGAGCTGAGGGACAGTGCTCAGGCCCAGAGTTCAGTCCCCACGACCGGACCCCCCCCCCAAAAAAAAGAAAGAAATTGCCAAAGACTTTGCATCTTTTGGGCTGGGGCATGGCTCATATGGAAGAGCACCTGCCTACTAAAGTGCAAGGTCTTGAGTTTAGGTCCTAGTACTGCAAAGAAGAAAGTTTTTTTTTGTTCGTTTTTTATTTTTAGGTTCTTTGATGCTAATTCCCAGATTGCCATTCGAATTGTTGGTGTCAGTGGATATACCCAGGGCAGTGTTAAAAGCAGCTGTGCTCTCTCAGCTCTTGGAATATTTAGATTCAGATCAAAGTGCTGGCCTATAGAGCAAGCAGAACCCTAAGTTCAAACCCCAGTATCTCACACACACACACACACACACACACACACACGCACGCACATGCACACATACACACAAACCACAACACACAACACACCCTGAACACCAGGTTAGCTTGAAACAGTTACAGTGTCATTCATTGTGTCATTATTCCCCAACAGGAACCCGGATGGAGATGTGAGCCCCTGGTGCTATGTGGCAGAACATGAGGATGGCGTCTACTGGAAGTACTGTGAGATTCCTGCCTGCCAGAGTAAGACCATTGCTCCTTCCCGTGGTTGACGGGTCCCAAGTTCCATGGGGCAGAGCACAGGTAGCCAGGCCAGTGGGTTTCCTAAGGAGGTACAAAGACAGGTATCCTGGCCCGAGGTGTTTGAGGAATGGGACCGCTTCTCTGGTGTGTTCCCCAGGTGGTGAGCCCAGCTTTGGTCAGCTCTTCCCGCTGCTGAGGAAAGAGGCAGCCACTCCAAAGCAAGGTGCAGGGAAAAGATGGTATTTTACACTTTCTGAAATGTATTTTTTTTTTTTGGGGTCCGGTCGTGGGGCCTGAACTCTGGGCCTGGGCACTGTCCCTCAGCTCTTCAGCTCAAGGCTAGTGCTCTCCAGTTGAGCCACAGCGCCACTTCCGGTTTTCTGGTGGTTTATTGGAGATCAGAGTCTCACAGACTTTCCTGCCCGGGCTGGCTTTGAACCACAGTCCTCAGATCTCAGCCTCCTGAGTAGCTAGGATTACAGGCGTGAGCCACCGGCCCACTTCTAGCCTGGCTAGAAGATATTTTTAAACATGCCAGAAGAACAAAGTTTCTCAGTTCCCAAATGTAAGCAAAGGAGTATTCACTCTTAACTAGTCCACTAGCTTACTTTTCCTTCCCACAGGCCACTCTTCATCTGCTTCCCCTTCTGTTTCTCAGGACAAGGTGTCACGGAAGTCTGGGATTCCTCTTCCCTGTGCCTGCAGCTGCAGTGAATTCTGGTGCCTTTGGGGGGAAAGAAAGGGTCCTGACTAGTGCTACAGGCCCAGCACTGTAGGATCACCTTTTGTAGCTCCTGCCTTGAGCCTCACCGCTGCCTGACAGCTTTGCCATCCTTCCAGCTTGAGTGGGCCGTTATCCTGTGCCCACATGAGAAAGCAGTAAAGACCATAAGAATGAGCTGTTGCTCAAGCTGCTTAATCAGATTTTCAAAATGAAAAAAAAAAAAAACCTCATTTGGCTCTAGTTGTATAAAGAGGAAAGGGGCAGAGGAGAGGAAAGCAGATTTTCCTCGGTCCATTTGCTCTATACAAAGATGGTCTTTTCCTACCAGCCTGTGCCATTCTCTCAGGAATGATGAAGAGGGGATTGAATCTGGGCATTTTGATTTGCAAAGATAATCTTCAGCCACACTTACAAAATATATCCTGGGCCAACAGGAACTGCTTCATGCAGTCATTGATAGTCAGCTACAGAAGGGAGAACGATAGAAAAATAATACAAATACTCCATACAATACAATACAATACACCCCATACAATACAAATGCAAGACTCACCAGAAACTCTTCACCATTCCAAAGACGGAAAATTCAACATGGCTTTCACTTTTTCTTCTATAACTCTCAAGTGATCTGGATGTGGAACCATCAGAAGGAGAGAATGAGAACCCAATAGTGCCTGGTTTGGGGGGTAGGGGCTAAGCCCTGTGTGGCTTTAGTTCTTTAGAAAAGCCTTCACTCTGTGGGTACCAGGATTCCCCATCAAGCCACATTCCCCCTCACTTTGAATCTGGCAGACTATTGTGTTTCTAGTATGTTTGATTAGTATGGCAGAGAAAAACTTGCATGCTATTTATAGCAAGAGACCTGGGTAATACCCTGGTGGATTTAATAGAGATACAGCCTGCCTCTTTTAGGCCAGTTTTTCACTATTTCTGGGTGTGGAGTCATCATTTTTATGAATAGTACTAAGCCTCTGTGTAAAGCCCACTATTCATGACTAGCATTGAACTTGTCATGCAGGAAAAGACCTGTGACATGAGCAGGTTCCTGGAAAGTTCATACTGAATGCACCAGGCCCAGCAGGAGGCTGGGGGGCTGAATGTTTAGGAACAAAGCAGAATCTGAGTGAATGGTGGGCCATTGTGTGGAGAGGAACCTCTGCCCCTGGGCATGTTAAGAGAAGGGCTACCAGCTAGAGGCCTAGATGAATTATGATTGGAAGGGGTACAGAGAGGTAGAACTTTGCTCTCTCTTCCAGAGGTGGATCAGCATGTACTGCTACAAGGAGAGTAATTCAGGGTCAAAACCCAAGATCTTATTGCATTAGGAGAAATACGGATTTGAAGAGCAAAGTCCAAGGCCATCAAGTTTACTAACCCTATGGATCCCACCTCTAGAGCTCTACATGTTCTTCTTGTGTTAAACTCATTCTCACCACTGAGATTGCTTTTAAAGGGACTTGCTTTTGTGGACCTTCATGTGGCTTTTGCTTTATTCTATTTTACTTTTAAGTTCCTTAATAAAAGTTTTATAGGGATTTTAAAAAATAAGCAATGTAGGTGCTTGTTTGCCAGATTTTTGGTGGATGGCACACCCTTCTGCACAGAAGTCAATTTTGCCTTGCTTAGACAAAAAAAAAAAAAGTAATTGTGAGTGTAATGCAATGGCATTTAAGACAAGTACAGGTTTGTTTGTGTCACTTAGCTTGGTCTAAGGCCAAAGAAATTCTGCTGGGGGTCTGGGCATGAGAATTTTTTTTTGGGGGGGTCAGTCCTGGGGCTTGAACTCAGAACCTGGGTACTGTCCCTGAGGTGCTTTTTCTCAAGGCTAGAACTCTACCACTTGAGCCACAGCACCACTTCTGGCTTTTCCTGTTGATGTGGTACTGAGGAATCAAACCCAGGGCTTCATGCATGCTAGGCAAACACTCTACCACTAAACCACCTTCCCAGCCCTTGGGCATGAGAAATTTACCTTCTCATCTGTGAGGACTGTTTTTGTTTGCCAAACAACATTTACTTACAAGTTCAGCCATAAAAAATTATCTTTTGAAATAGAGAAATGTGAATCAGATTTAATTTTAGATTATACTAAGGAGTTAGTATTAACTTTTATTAGCCACAATAATGGCATGGTAGTTTTATGCTCCCTGGGCTGGTCTTGAATTTCTGGGCTCAATTGATCCTCCCACTTTAGTCTCTGAGTAGCTGGGACTGTAGTTGTGTAACACTGTGTGTGTGTGTGTGTGTGTGTGTGTGTGTGTGTGTGTGTGTCAATTGATCCTCCCACTTTAGCCTCTGAGTAGCTGGGATTGTAGATGTGTAACACTGTGTGTGTGTGTGTGTGTGTGTCCAACTTCCCCCATGGAGATAGTCTTGTGGCATTTTCTGACCAGACTCTTTGCAATCTCAGCCTTTCACATAGATTGGGATGACAGAAGTGTACCACTGGACCCAGTTGTGGATTCAGAAGGGGCCTTGAAAACCTTGATCCTCACCTTCTCAGCCTTCAGGTAGCTCTGATTATAGCTGTGAGCTGCCATCACCAGGCTTATCTACTCACTTATATGCATTGTAAAAAACAAATTTTTACATTAATTTTATAATATTTAAAAATATGTTGGGGCTGGGAAGTTGGCTCAGTGGTAGAGCGCTTGCCTTGCATGCCTGAGGCCCTGGGTTTGATTCTTCAGCACCACATAAGCAAAAAGAAAAAAGCCGGAAGTGGTGCTGTGGCTCAAGTGGTAGAGCACTAGCCTTGAGCTGAAGAGCTGAGGGACAGCGCCCAGGCCCAGAGTTCAGGCCCCACAACTGGACCCAAAAATAAAAATATGTTAATGTAACATTTAGAGAGTGTCTGGATTAAAATCTGTGACATATTGACCTACATGACTGGGCTAGGTTGGTACTCTGATCTACAACCCCAGCCCAGGTGATACTTCTTTTTTTTTTTTTTTGTCGGTTGTGGGGCCTGAGCACTGTCCCTCACTCAGCTCTTCAGCTTTACCACTTGAGCCACAGCGCCACTTCTTTTTTCTTTTTGCTTATGTGGTGCTGAGGAATCGAACCCAGGGCCTCATGCATGCAAGGCAAGCGCTCTACCACTGAGCCACCTTCCCAGCCCAGAATACTAGCTTTGTGCAGAAAAAACTCAGAGTTAGTACCTAGGCCCTGTTCACCCCCCACAACTGACAAAAACCAAAAACAAACAAAAAAAACCCCACAGGAATTGAAAGTTCTTAGTTGTGATCCCTATAAGTCTTAAAAACTATGTTAAGAGTTTGAATAGAGCTGGTCACTGGTAAATTATGCCTATAATCTTAGCTCAGGAGATTGGGTTTTGGGGTTCCCGTTTCAACCCAATTGGGGTAGTAAAGTCCATGAAACTCTTTTCTCCAGTTAGCCACTCAAAAACTGGAAGTGGTGCTGTGGCTCAAGTGGTAGAGCACTAGCCTTGAGCTGAAGAGCTCAGGGACACGCCCAGGCCCAGAGTTCAGGCCCCACAACTGGACCCAAAAATAAAAATATGTTAATGTAACATTTAGAGAGTGTCTGGATTAAAATCTGTGACATATTGACCTACATGACTGGGCTAGGTTGGTACTCTGATCTACAACCCCAGCCCAGGTGATACTTCTTTTTTTTTTTTTTTGTCGGTTGTGGGGCCTGAGCACTGTCCCTCACTCAGCTCTTCAGCTTAAAGCTAGCGCTCTACCACTTGAGCCACAGCTCCACTTCCGGCTTTTTTCTTTTTGCTTATGTGGTGCTGAGGAATCGAACCCAGGGCCTCATGCATGCAAGGCAAGCGCTCTACCACTGAGCCACCTTCCCAGCCCAGAATACTAGCTTTGTGCAGAAAAAACTCAGAGTTAGTACCTAGGCCCTGTTCACCCCCCACAACTGACAAAAACCAAAAACAAACAAAAAAAACCCCACAGGAATTGAAAGTTCTTAGTTGTGATCCCTAATAAGTCTTAAAAACTATGTTAAGAGTTTGAATAGAGCTGGTCACTGGTAAATTATGCCTATAATCTTAGCTCAGGAGACTGAGATCTGAGGATCCCAGTTCAAACCCAATTGGGGTAGTAAAGTCCATGAAACTCTTTTCTCCAGTTAGCCAACAAAAAGCTGAAATAGGTATTGTAGCTCAAGTGATAGAGGACCAGTCTTGAATGGAAAAAGCTATGAGGTAGTACCCCAGCTCCGAGGGTTCAAGCCCTAGTTCTGGCACCAAAAAAAAAAAAAAGAAAAGAAAAAAGAACAGCCCTGGTGCCTTTAT